TTTGATGCATTTTATTCTAATTGTTGTATTCACTCACTCAAAAGGATTCTCCTATCTTGAAAATCCACTTGAGCTTTTGACCTTCCTTGATCAAATTGAACCTTACCTATCCCTATTTGTGACCAACCAAGTCCTTTTGATAGGTAAATCATTGTATTAAGACAAAGGAGATTGAGAATATGGGCAAGCATATGGTAGGGTAGAGCAAATTTCCGTGTATTGAGGGAAAATACCTAGCCTGTAACACTGACGAGTGAAGAGTGAAACACCACCATGTGAGCTAGATAATTTCTTTGCATTATGTGAAGTATAATGAACCTTGTTGAATTTTTGTTTCACTTGTATGGGACTTTGCATAAAATTAATTGATATGAGTGTGCTTTCTTTGTTGAATGACTCCATGATTTTGAAATGGAGGAAGTGTATATTAGAGTTGAAAGATTGGAACTTAAAAATTTTGAGAAAAATTTTTTGGATCAGTCCAGCCCTTTTTACTTAAGTCCTTGAATTTTGGTTTGCTTGAGGATAAGCAAAAGTTTAAGTTTGGGGTTGTGATGAATCCACATTTTACTAAATTTTTATACATCATTTATTACTTTTTATAGAAAAGAATAGACTTAGATAGTGTAAATAAGATGAATATTCCAATTAGGCTAAATAATATAGGTTTTTTAGTTTTTGGTTAATTTACATTGATTTATATAGTTTATTTTACATGTTTTGATCATTTGAATAATGTGGCAGGAATCCCCAAGCTTATTTTGAAGAATTATTGGATTTTGAGAAATTTGAGGTGAAAGTAACTACTTTCAAGATTGATAGTGACAACTACAACAACCCAGAATCCACTAAACATGCGCGTGGTTACTATGAAAGTTCATAGTAATCACTCCAGAGCATGCAGAATTAAAGGTGTTGCACGTAGTTACTATCAAAGTTCATAGTGACAACTCTAGAGAGTCCAAAATGTGTCAGTGCTGCGCGTGGTTACTATGAACTTTCATAGTAATCACTCCAGAAAGGTAAAACCCAACTGATGTTGCGCGTGTTTACTATGAAAGAATGAAAGTAATTACTTTGGAGGGCGTCAGCTTTAGTATAAATAGATTTTTACCAAATTAGGGTAGAGAGTTCTTACACTTTTTGAACCTTTTATCTTCTTTACTAAAATTTAGGACATTTTCTAGAGCTTAGGGCAACCTTGAGTGACAGCCAAGGGTCCAACCTAGGGTTTGGTTTCTCATATTCTCTTGCTTTTACATTAATGTTAATGAGTTTTTTGCATTTTCCAATTGCGTTTTTTATCCCCATTTCCATGGAGGGTTAAATTTTATGTAATCCTTAGTAAGTTCACACGGATGCTTGAGTTCCTTGATTTTAATGATAATATAATTTCTTTCTTCTCATGAATTACTTCTTCCTTGTCTCTTGAATTGAATTAATGGTGAATGAGGGGGATATTGCTTAATTAACCCTAATTTGTTTTAAGGAGATTATAAACTAGGGATTGCTTAATCCTAGGTTTAATTCTAAGGTTGCGTAACTTTGGGAAGAGAGATTAGAACCTAGCAAATTGCGTAATTTCGCTAGGACAATAAGGTTGATTTTCGCTTTTTAAATTAACCTAATTCATGGGAGAGAGGATGAATGTTAAATCTTGAGTGGAATAAGGATAGAATCTTTGTGGATGAACTAAGGATTGTTGTTTTCTATTGTTTGAATTAATTAAACTTGTTTGCTCGTTGCTTTTTATTTTGATTTGAAACCACGAAACCCCCCATTTTAATTGTTTGTTCAATTAATGTCTTCAACATGTTTAATGAAGATTAATAGCCAATGTTCACGGGAGACAGTCTAGGGTAACCCTAGTACTACATTAATTTGATTAAATTTTGATGAGGATTTGCGACAAATCTTTTAAACACAACATAAGAAAGCCCGATCATCAGTGGCCTATCACTTAAGAACTCCAAAGTTAAGAGTGCTTAACTTGGAGCAATTATGGGATGGGTGACCTTCTGGGAATTTCGCGGGAAGTGTGCGAGTGAAGACAAAGCACATTGAAAAGTCTCGTGTTGGTTTATGGGGACAGTCTTCAGTCCCAAATAAGTTGTCGGGCTGTTACATCCTAGGTTTTGAATGTTACTACAAATCCTTTTCTTTCATGAATTTCTTCTCCCTAATCTCTTGAATTGAATTAATAGTTGAATGAGGGAGACATTGCTTAATTAACCCTAATTATTTTTAATGAGATTCTAAACTTGAATTGCTTAATTCTGGGTTTATTTTTAAGGTTGCGTAATCTTGGGATGAGAGATTGGAGTCTATTGAATTGCTTAATTCGTATGGAAACATAAGATTAATTTTCACTTGTTAAATCAACCTAATTCTGGGAGGAGAGGAAGAGTATTAAATCTTGAGAGGAATAGGGATAGAGTTTATATGAATGAACTAGGGGTTACTACATTTTATCGTTTGAATTTTGTAATTTAAATTTCTGCTTAAGTTAATTGAACTTGAAATCACAAAACTTCCCTTTTTACTTGCTTTCTGAATACATTGCACACTACATGTTTGATATTTGGTCACTCATCCAATGATTCATGGGAGACGATCTAGGTTAGCACCTTATTATTACATTAATTTATGTTTATATTTTGATGAGGATTCGCGACAAATCTTTCGATTAGCAGATGCAAACGCACATTGTTTCAATATCAATTATGCAGAAAAGGTTGTATGTTTAGGGGGAAGTTTTGTGATTAATTCAAACGAAAATTGTAGAGAAGTAAATCGAGAACAACAAATGCAAATTGAATTAACAATGAAACATAAATTGTGATGCAAGTAAAATCAATTACAATCAAACCGAAAATGAGATTAGACACCGAGAATGAGAAATTGAGAATGAAAACCGAAAAACACAAACACGAATTGATTATACTGAATTTGCTTAAATCTCTTATGCACAACAAATCAACTAATCAATTATTTGTTACACAATCAAGAGAAGGAGGCACAACTCAATCGAATTATACTTTCCATTCAATCACAAAATGTAAGGTTAGAAAACAAACTCGAAGCAATCAATCGATCTTCCAATTCTTGTTTGAGCAAGTGCAATCCGAAACTTGGTAACACAATTGAAAGCGAAATGCAGAAGAAAATAACTCAAAATTGCATAATTCTAAACGCCTTTCAACCACAAAATGCAGAGCGAGTGCAATGGAATTCTAAAAGGTGCAAAAGAATGAGAGAATGGGTAAAAAAATGAGAGATTTCTTGGAACCGGGAAAGTTTACAAAACTAAAAAACAAAAAAATGAACTAAGTGTGCTTCCAAATCAGCCCTTGACCTCTATAAATAGTAGTCTAAAATGAATGAATAAAAAAAAATGGGCCAGGGCTGGGCCGAAAATAAATACAACAAAACCGCAAAAATAAAAGCAATACAAAATCAATACAAAAGTCAAGCTAAAAGACTAAACTTCTAAAATTCGTAGAAAATAGCTCTGAACTCAATATCACGATTCATATCTCCAAGTTGAAGCCCCAGAAGTAAGGAATCCAATGCAAAAAGAATCAGCCACAAAGGATATCTACAAAAAAAGTTATGGCCAGATTAGTGAACAAAGGTCAAAATAGAAAAACATGAAACTAAAAAACATGAGTATTTACAAAAGTTCCTAATTAATGTGAGAAATGCAAAAACACACTAATGGAAGAAATAAGAGAATGAAAAGGCATCTAAAGGATGCAATAAGACTATAAATGTGGGAACAAAATATGAGTCATCAATAAACTAAAGGTATTTGTTCTAACTCCAATTAAGAAGTAATTGATTTATCATTATTTGCTTGAAGTGAGTCAATTTTAAGAAATTAGGGTCAAACAAGTAATATGAAAATTAATATATTTTGATTAAATTCTAGAAAGTTTTGAAATATAATTTATTTTGTGTTAATCAAATGCATGAAGGTTTGTGTTTGATCACTTAGTTTGAATTAAAGTTTCATTCAAATTCAAGTTTTAATCCTTAGAATTAGAATATTATCAATTTTTGGATTCAATGATTGAATGTTGTTAGTTTTCTCTTGATTCTTGAATTAACTTTTTAATTAATGGATTATCTCTTCTCATTTGAGATAGTTTTCTATTGATTTTGTTAAATTCCCTTATTTTAAATTCTAATTTAATACATTGCTTTGGTGATCCTTGAGATATGCGTCCCTGCTCTTCTCTATGTTCTAATTTATGTTCTTGTGTGTACACAACGTGGTTTGCATTTTGTTTCCATTTGGGCCATGAGGTTCATAAAGCTGCACTACTGCCCACTTCTCTTGTTTCTCTTGGCATTGTTACTCTTTCTCATCTAAGATTCTTAAGAAGGGATGCCCTTCAGCATCTCAACTCTCTTTTAGTTCTCGACGTTGATTTTTGTTCCAAGCTTGAGTCCTTACAAGAATATGGGTTGATTTCTCTTAAACAACTTCGCATTTGCGAATGTCCAATGCTTCAGTCCTTGACAGAAAGTAGCCTGCCACCATCTATTTCATTGCTGGAAATGGAGGGCTGTCCTTTGTTAGAAGCATGGTATTTTGGCGTGAGAGAGAAACGTTGACACAAGATTACTCATATCCAGTCACAAAGATAAACGAACAAGTGATACTATGAGTTGTTGAACAATCGTGGAGATTTCAATAGAGTTGGTAGGCAATGTGCTTCTCTTAAGATGGAAAGTAAAGTGGAAATTTTCAGCTCTAGCCAAGGTTCAAGACTGCCAAGCTTTTAGGTATGGAGCGGGCTGTTTCCGCTGGTTATTACAGCCTCGATTACCGAAGTCGTCTAATCGTCACAAATATTGCTGTTTTTTTTTTCTTTATACCACCGAATAACGGTATTCAGTGTCATATCATATTAATGAGAATTTAATCCAAAAATTTTCTATATGCAATGACAACCGGGAAGCTGAAATTCTAGATTATGAATTTATAATTTTATAATGCTGCTAGTAAACGATAAAAATTTTCCAATATTCCAATTGTTGGATCATAGATAAATGAGGCGTATCCTATGGCTGGAGGGATACATGTTTAACACTAAAAGAAATGAATGGCATTATATGCAACTGCAGTCAGGTACTGGTGCACTACCATTCAGGGCGAAGAACCTAGTATGTTTTCCCCAAAAACACAAAGATGAAATTTCCATTGTGGTTGCTTGACTATGGATTTCCTATGGGAAACGGTAAGGAATGGAAGACTATTCTGAAAAGAAAAGAATAACAAAGCATCATCAACCGCAAGTAACAACTGTAAAATTACAGAAAGAATAAAATATTTAACTATATTAACAGTGAAGTATATAAAGCAGTCACATGGGTTCCAAAAAATAATAATAAAGCAGTCTACTGAAACTTCACTTCCCCAAACCCCACCCGTTCATAATCTTCCAAAGGTAACACTTTCAACCAAAAACAGAATTATACTATCCCGTTAAAAAAACCCCATTCCAGGGTCCACCCTACCCATACGCTTCGCTTCAAATGTATGGATAATTCCCAGATATTTCCATTACATTCTTCTCATCTTTCGTTCCAACGAAATCAATGTCCTCCCGTTCGTAGCTTCAACCGAAGACGAAAAATCGAGATTATTAAACGTCATCTACTACCGACACAAACATCTAGATATTAAAATATCCTCCATGTACATACGAAAAATCCAAAATTTAGGCCAGGCATCTTCTTACATTAATAATTCTTTTACCAGTTTTTATCTCATCAAGCATGAAAACAATCTGATCCCTCCTTAGTCTAAAGACCATCTTAAGAAATACACTATGTCCTAGCCAAGCTGCCATCTGGCTTAGATTCTGTTCTAACATAGGTAAGACCACGAGTAGCAGGAGCAGTAACACTGCCGGTATTCAAAGATGAACTATTGTCAGATCCCGGAGCGTCCCGCTTCCATTGCAAGCTCCTGGCACCCAGCTTAATTGGGGGCCGAGGTCTAAATGCAGCAGGGATACCTCTTGGAAAGGGAAGTCTGGAAAACCTCGCAGAAGGGAATGGAGACCCCCTAACAATGCGCGGCCATGCCATAGCTGGAGCTGATTCTTGATGTGCAGCACTTTTCTTAACAACCTATGATAAATGAGTAATTGCAAAGCAATTTAGTTTACCGACCTTGACTTTAGCTTAAAATCTACTAAAATTAAGCTCATATAACACACATTGTTATCACACATATTTTCATATCAAGCCAGCAAAGATGAATTATCCTGACACAATTTATTTCACTAAAACTGCATGGATGCCACCACATTGTACAAGTTAACAATTGCACTGCACCACTGATGTTATAAAAGTGTAAAAGATTTTACATTTTAACCAGGATCAACACGACCTAGATGCATGAACTCCGTTTTGATGTTTCTATACAAGTCCTCGTGAGGGCCCAGTTAAAAAAGGAAAAAGAAAGGAAAGTCATTGTGCCAGTTTAGGACAGAGGTCCAAAATCTTCTCGCCAAATCTAAAAATGGATATTTAGTGCTCATACAAGTCCTCGTGAGGGCCCAGTTAAAAAAGGAAAAAGAAAGGAAAGTCATTGTGCCAGTTTAGGACAGAGGTCCAAAAGCTTCCCGCCAAATCTAAAAATGGATATTTAGTGTTCATACGACAATCCCAATTAAGATGTCATTTAGTTCCTAGTGCCAACATAAACTTGGAAGTCAAAAAATAAAACTACCTCTTTTTTATGTTTGTCAGGTACTCCTACACCAGAAAGGACAATATAACAAACTGAAGTAACGAAAAAGTTCATCATCCGATAAGGCTAAATGTGCCACAAACATATTAATTGTGATTATCAAAATTTACAACCTATAAAGTGAAAGAATTAAAAAGGGAGAGAAAAATACCTGAAGCAAACTAAAAACAAAATGTAGGGGGAAAACATATACATAACTAGAGTATCAGGCAGTGATAAATACCTTCAGAATACGTGACATAAAAGAAGTGCCATCCAGAGATAATGCATTATCTGCTGCTTCTTTTCGCATGAACTCAACATAAGCTGCCCTGCTCAAGTATTCATGAAATAATAAATTCACGAACAAAATATACTGAATATGAGTGAAACAAAATTTTGACACATCGTACCCTTTTGGCTGCCCCGTTGCAGCATCAGTAACTATAATCACTTTCAACACTTCCCCAAATTTATTGAAATGCCGAGACAGGCCATCTTTGGTTGCAGCAAAATGAACCTGTGACAAACAACTGCACAAGTCAAATAAATCCTACATACTCTGAAGTCCGCCCTCCCACACCAAAATTAAAAAGAGTTATTACATTGCTAACAAAAATGGTTCTAGAATCAGCATCTTCTAAAGGGCGTCCAGCAGCACTTGAACCTGAAAATACATGAGATGCAATCAATTATACACCTGATAAATTGCCCAAGTCATCAAACAATATATTTAAAAACAAATAAAAGAAAAATAGAATACACTGCAAAATGTGTAAATATGTAACAGCCCCTTAACCATAATAAAATTATTTAACCAGCCAGAAATACAATTTCCACGTAACTCAGAAACAGGAATTTCCAGCAGTGTTTAAAACTCACCAGAAGCAGACAATTGTGCCTTGCTAGACACTTTCTGAACATCAGGAGCTGGGTTGACCTGTTAAAAGTAATGATATCAACAAAAGTAATCTACAGTTAAACACTCATGCAAGTCATATTTACTAATTTTCTGGTAAAATACATTTTATTTTACCCTCTTGTAAAATCCTTTCTCACCTTACTTCACAGAAGTTTTTCATCATCACTTAACCCTACGTAGTTTGGTTTTGAACACCCCCCCCCCACCCCCCCAAGATACTTATGTTTTGACTTAACTGAAATAGTAACATTTTCACTTCAAACCAAGTATCAAGGTTAAGTGATAATACTTAGAGACATAAGTCAAGAATGAACTAAGCTTCAAGGAGGTGAGAAGTATTTTACCCTAAATGTTAACACAGAATCCATATCTCATTATTTAAGCAAGCGTGAACAACTCACATTCCCATTACTAACTTTAAAAGTGTTGGCATTGTCCTTCGCCAGCCGCAAACTAGATCTGGGAGCTCCTCTTTCATTCTCAAAAGCTTTTTTACCATCTAATTCTGCAATCTCTCTTGGTTCCTGATGTGGTGGTGGCTTCCAAGTATTTACATTAACAGAAATATTAACTATCTTATGAGAAGAGTTGTGTGAAGCAGCAGGTTGCTCCTGTTCACGATTCCGTTTTTGGCGCAAAATATCATCAACATTTTTTGCTACACTATACTGCACCATCAATGAATCATTGCCCCTGTTTCCAACAGAGGAGCTGATCTGAGAAGCTCCAGTCATCCTATGATCCACGACATTAACATCACCAAACCCTTCATTATCTGAATTAGAATCAGAAGGAAAACCAGTTTCATTTTCCATAATAGTTGTATTTGCAGCATACTGCCCATTGTAGTCATCTGTTTGAAGATAGAATGATTGGTTTGGCTCCTGATGTTGGTAATTATCTTCAAGTTGACTGTTATCATCTGATATATCCATACCACGACCAAGTCTATCAAATACACTTCCAGAGGATTTGGATTTTATTACATCTTCGGCAGCTTCAGCCACGGCCTTGATCACTGTAGCCATTGGATTTGCCACCCTGGAAGCAGGCTGCATCCGCTGTGAACGTTCAACTAAGGATGAATCACCAGAGGATGTAGAAACCACAGAACGAAGACGTTTTAAGGAAGGCTCCCCTGATGTTCCTGAAGTGGATGTCCTCGAAGTAGCCACTGCATCTCGCACAGCAAATTGAAGCAGTCGTCGAGGAGCAGCAATATTAACTTGTGAGACATCCCTCTGTTAAAGTAAGTTACTCAGTTAGATGTTTGAAAGCAAAGGATCAACTGCTTTATTATTTTAGTATAAACAAAATACAAAAATGAAGACAAAAATAAGCTAACAAGTACAACTGAGTTGTGATTTTATCTGTGTACATATAGCACTTGCTCTGAATTAGTACAACTTGAGTTGTGATTTTACTGGGTGATGGAAAGACACAATTTTTCTTTTATAAAATCAAAATTTGTGTGTCTTTTGAGTACAAATAAAATATAAGGGTTCAGCTTAATGCAATTATTGCATTTCTCTGACATATTTCATCAATCTAAGCAAATTTTCCAAAATGCAAGAATACAGCAATGGCATTTGGCATTAAGTTAAATTAAAATAATTAAATTAACCACTACACCACCTGTCAACGGCATAAACTCATTCACTTATATTGGCATGGCATAATAGGGCTTCTAAGAAGTGTTTAAACACCAAAGAAAGAACTTAAGTTGAATAAAATGTCTCAGTAGACAGTAAATCAGGCAAATATCGTAGCAGTTCAAACCTTTGTCCTCTGTTGTTCATCTCGGCCCCTTTTCCTCTGAACTGGAGGCTTAGGAGACAGTGAACTTGGACCGTGATTGGCTTTAGGTCTGGCATTTTCCTCCAAATGAGTATTGTCCACCACAGAGCTTCGAATAGGAGGAGGTTCAGCTTCTACCCTCACCAATCCTTTCCAATCTTTGTTATGCCGACTTCTAGATAATTTACTAGATTTTCCTCTCTCTGACTGTGAATTTAAATGCTGAAAATCATCGCCCCCAGCTTGAACCTCTGAAATAAGCTTTTTTTTAGGAGCTTCATCCTGCAAAGCTTCAGGTTGTACATACAAATTTAAATTCAAATCAAGATGATCCCACAGCCTGTTAACAAGATATGCATACAAGTTAGCACATAGTGATGAGTGTAAAAGCTTATATTTCTTGCAACTAATTAACCTTGAAGTTACCCAAGAGAGATTGATATTAAACTAAAATTACCAGGATACAAAAGAATCACTGTCATCTCCCAAAAAAACATTCAATTCATTCCTTGCTTGTTCTTTGCGCCTACCATTCCTCAATAGCACAATAACATATTCCTGCCGATGCACAAGCTAAAGTTAGTTGACTCAAAAAAGTCAAATTAATCATAAGAAATTCTTGACGTCTCATCATAATTGCCTACAACCAATGGTTAATTCCAGTAAATACACCATATCTTCTATTAAAAAGAAAAATAAAAAAAGTGAAATACCATATCCGGATGCAACACATTAACAATGACAAGATAACAACAATAATGGCTTACTTCTAATAATGAAATTCTGAAGTTATAAGACAGCTTAGAAAACTTTCAACACTATATTACATGATATAACTGAATGCTGAGCATCAATGCAACAAGGATTATCTCAGTAAACGGATTTTGTTATATGAATCAAAACAACATTGGACTATAACAAAACCAATGTCCAATAAATCTGTTTCAGGAGAAGTCTTCTTTAATGATTTCCCCTAAAATATTTTAGGGTCAAGTCTTCCTCAATCCTTGTTAATCAGATTATCTTCCATTTGATCTGCTTTTCTCACTGGAAGCTCTGTTGATTTCTCCCTTACATATCCAAATTACCTATTACAAGTTTTTATTTCCGAAACTTTTTTTATTTATTAGCAAAATCTTTTAATCCCTCTTAATATAGGTTGCATATTCATTGATCTGTATTTTCACCTGAGTTTATATCTACCACAAAAGAAGGGATAGTCCAGTGTATGAGGCTCCCACCTAGTGGGATGTCGAGTGGTCAGCAGCCTTACCCACCCAGGCAGTGGCTGTTTCAGGATATGAACCTGTGAGCTCAATTCACAAGGCAACCTTGCCATTGCGCCAAGACTCACCTCAAATCAGACAAGTAAAATTCATTGAAAAGTTACTTATATTTTTCAAAATTGGATGAGTGAATGGAACATGCTGTGTGTGTCACACATTTTACAGCACAACAAGAAGAAGCTCATTGTGCATGTGCATGTACATACACCTGCCAACCATATACAGAGTTCATAATCCAGAGTGTATCTGCATCAAAGTTCCACCTAATCATAATAACAACCAGCAGGTCCATGAAGTCACATATCAAAAGCAATACAACCACCAACACATTTTCAAACACAGTACACATGACACGATAGCCTCCAATGCTAATGCCACAAGAGGCCTTCACTTTATTTTTTCAATAAACACATTTATCTTAACATTTCCACTAACATTTATCTACAGTCCTAAATACACATTCCACAACTTGCAGAAAAACATTAACCATTCAAGCCACAATTTATACGGATTTTCCAACATAACTCCTTCTCCCACCGTTCAACTCATGCCACAAAGAGCATTCACAAACAACATTCACACATCTAAGAGAAAATCACGATTAGCTCAACATAGGAAACCTCCAGGAGCCAACGTATCAATTAACAAAAGCAGAATTTCGCAATCAACACCAGACTTTGCCCTCAAAAACCAATTCGACAATCTAGAAATGCACAATATTCATTCGTACCACAAGAGTATCATCAGTGTAATCCCCCATGAATTCCTTCAGTTTCTCCTTCACACTCTCCCTTAGCTTCGCCACACCATCGGCGGTGAAATTCATCTTGAACGTCCGATCGCCGTCTCGATCGACGCTTCCCATCTCCAATCCCGAAATAAAATCACGGCAGACGAAAACCCTAACGAAGAGTCTCCCTCTCTTTTTCTTTCTCTACCAAAACCGCGATGCTATCGAAACCCTAACTAACTCTCGAACGTATCAAAATCTGCGACGAAAGAATCAGAACAGTGAGGAATCAGCGGATGCGAAAGGAAGAGAAAGAGGAGACTGTGTCGTGATTGTCTCGGGGAAATGGACAGAAAATATTCGCGCAGTCATGGAAAAACCGCGCAGTTCCGTCTTGGCGGAGAAAGAATGGTAGAAAATGGCGGATATATTTATAGGAGACAGAGAAAGAGAGAAATGCAATTAGCAGAAAATGGAACCTAAAATACAGTCTCAGTCGGTTAGTGTATCCTCCGGAGTAGTACCACCAAGATGGCGCAAAGTGGATTGTTTGTTGGTGCGGTGTTTAATGGTAATGTACAAGACAAATTTTTTGGTTTTTTTGGACAAATCTTCTTAATAAATTTTTTATCATTTTATAAAATATGTATTATATAAAAAATCATTTATTTATCATTTTCAAATGTCAAAATTATTTAATATTTTTGTTTATTCATTAAGAGAACTTATAACCATAACATATTTAGAATGATTATAAATTTTTACTCTTTTACGAAATCTTTTTAATTACAAAATAACGAAAATATTAATATATTTTTAAAATAAATGTATTTATTTTTATTTAATATATATTTTATAAAATATGACGAGAATTATTTGGAGGATATACGGAAAGATATTGCAAAGTTTTTCCAAAGTCATAACGTACAAGAATTTTTTTGTTCAGAACACTGTTATAGTTTCTTAGTTATTCACCTAGCAATTCTTTTACTACTTTGTAATGTAAGTATTAAATAAAATTTATATTTATTATCTTAAAAATATATAATATATTAAGTATTTTTATTTAATAAATAAAAATTTTATAAAAAATTAATTTATGAAGGATATCCCTCAATTGACGGTGGAAAATTATTTTCTTCGAAACTTAAACATTATGAAAGTAAATGGGTATAAGTTATTTAAATTTATCAAGATCGCTATTTAGTAATAATAATAATACGAAAAGTAACAAAGTTTATTTGGTCAATTTAGTTAGACATTACCATTTAGGCTGGATTAAAAATAAGTTAGTTTTAAATAAAATTTCATGCAGTTTGATCATACCTTTTCTTGAGGCATTTTTTTCACTACATTTATACATTCTTAACGTATATTTGCTAGTTTGATTACCTACCAAATAGTGTACATATTATTTAGCAAATAACATGATTTTTAATTGTTTATTAAATTAAAATTAGTTATATTTGACAGTTATTATTATATAGGATGTGACTTGGTCTAGTTGTAAAATTCAAGTTTCATGATTATGTGTTAAACAAATAAGGGATTAAGAAACAAATTATTATGGTAAATTACGAGGGATGAAAATCTTATATCTTACTTTTTTATCTTATTTAAATTATTTAAGTTACATTTTTTATTTTTTTATTTTATAATTTTTTATATTAATCATATTTTTTTTTATCATTATTCTCTCTTTTAGCAACTTTCTAATATTTTTGTCGATTCTAATTTTGTGTAAGGAAAACTCTTTTTAATTTTGCACAATAATTATTCTCTAAAAACAAAATAAAAAATACAAGAAAAAAGTTAAATTGAGACTGTTCATATCTTTGCAACTTTTTACAAACATGAATGAAAAAAATTGTTCAGTATTATTGATTAATCAAATAGATAATACACTTCACTAATTGAATATATTTTAAAAAATATTTGTTTTAGAAATAAAACTATTTCATTCAAGAAATTCTTAAAATCAGTGTAAAAAAAAATTGAGCACCAAAATTTGTACTAGTTTACCCTCCACAAAAATCAGGCAGGCTTTGTTCAATCCTTGAAAATTCTTCAAATATTTTACCACAAAAAACTTCAATTTTTACAAATTATCTATTTTGAAGAATTTTTGTACAAGTTTTTTGGACTGAAAGCCAAAGTATCATTTTTAAGTGTTATTAGTTTTTATACTCTCAAATTTTTAATCAGCGGATAAATATACATATCGATTGTAATAAAAAGAAGTATTTAAAATTTTTTAGTATCAATATGATATTATATTTACAAGCACCTACTACTATTATTTTTCGAATGTTTTAAGTAGTTTCACATGTTAAAATTTATTGTGGTTGAAGAAAGTAGGGAATAAAGTAAATTAAGAATTAAAAAAACAAAATTAAAAGAAAAATCATAGAGCGAGTTTAATATGAACGAATATCTAGACTTTCAACTTTTATGATTGCTTAAATATTTCTCTATTCAATCATGTTAAAGTAATTATTAATCACTTATTAAATGTTACCACTATTTAATAAGTATATAATAATGATAGTCTTTTTTTATATGTTACTCTAATGAATAAAAGTATTAAAAAATATTAGATTTGTTATACTCAATTAATTGTTGAAAGTTTAGGGAATAGATTGATTTTTATAACTCAAAACTAAAATGGCCTCTTGATTTCATTAATTCATTAAAGGTTCAATTGCCTATTAATTGATTAACCAATATTAACCCTTGATTGATTAATTCAAGAATATCAATAGAAAATAAAGAGGCAATTTTAATTGGCTATAAATAACATAAATTGCATTACATAAAATTCAGATTCAAAATGGGTTACATCACAAGAATCTGTCTTAATCTTATGATAAGGGGTGTTTAGTTACACATACATAGTAATACAAGCATAAGAAATTAAGCACCAAATACTCATAATCCTAAACAATAAATAAAGAAAAACTCCTATGACTGATATGCTTCAAAGAAAACATCAACTTTGTAATGTAGCATATCACTTCATGGAGATTCTATGGAAACAATGATCAAAATGAAAGATAGAAAAGATGCAGTTATGAATGGTAAATGAATATGAAAATGGATGTGTAAGGTTTGTGCCTAAAAGAGATAAAGGAAGAAAGAGATCAATCTTCATAATGATAGATTAAAAAAATTAAAAAGATACTCTTAAATCCCTAAAATATCTTTTTTATTAGCATTATAGGGCCTAAGCACGAGACATCTTGAGCATTGGGTGTGCTCCTCCTATGTACACTCAAGGAGGAGCACATTATGGACAGAGAAACTTTAACTTTCAACACAACTTGTGCTAGTATATAGTATAATTATGCTAATCACTTCAATATTAATTTGCTGAGATTTAGCACATGGTGTGCCCCTTTTAAGTAACTCTTAATAGAGGATATTGTTAGATGAGCATAAGTTATGTTAAAATTGAGTACACCCTTAATACAGAATGTTGTATCAAGAGCACAGAGCGTGCTAAGATTAGCATAGGTGTGCTCCATCTTTTTATGCTTCTCTTAAACCTTTAATCGATTCAATTTATTCTTTACTTTTTTTTCTGTAACTTTTCTTTATAATTTGACATATTTTAATCAATTTATATTGTCACCATTTTCTATGATAAATCAAGAAAAAATTAGCCAATTTAAGGTATTGTTTAGTAATTTTAATGTCAAAATAGACTAAAAGTCCACAAATAAAGTGCAAAATAACAGTTTATCACTAAGTCTCTTTTAAGTACTTGTAAAGAAATATTTTGAGTCATTATCTCCTTTTGTCTTTTCTTATAAAAAGGCTTAGCATGTAAAAAGTATAAAATATGTTTTTCCTCATCGCTTCTTGAAGTTTAATTCATACATTCTTCAAGAAATATCTTATTCTTTAATCAACTCTAACTATCTATTGCTCATGGTTTAAAAATGTATAAGTGATGAGTTGTAAAGATAGTAGGTTCTTTATAATGCTGTTGCTTGATACCTTCAATTTAGCAAAGATTGTTTTTATGTTGTTCTTATATATTATATTAATATAATTGAACATTTTAATTAAGTTGTTAAATATTAAATAGAATTTATCTAAGTATTGATGTTTTATTATTCATAAAAAAAAAATTAAGGTATCAATCATCTTGTGTCAAATAAGCCCATCCTTTTTATGATGACAATATGTTATGATCTTGCTGAATTTTTACTTCAATTCCACTTTTATAACTTTTTATGACAGTCTTTCATAACATAGAAGTAAACTAAATGAAACAACAAAAATGCAAAAAAATTCAGCTAACAATTATGCAGAAAAATGATATCTAAGTGCAATAAAATAAAGCAATAACACTAAGCAACAAGAAATAAAGAGAAACTGCAAACTATTACAAGAAAAACGTAACACAAAATCACAAATTCTGCAGAATTCTGTAGAATTATGCAGCAAAACCAGAGCCAAATGCAGAAAAATTAAAAACAGAACACTAAAACAGAGTAACTAACAAGTTCAACGCAAAATTAACACCAAAGTCCCCGGCAACGGCGCCAATTTGATGAACAGAATTTTCGTTTGCAAAAAGATTTGTCGCCAATATCATCAAAATATGCAGAATTTTTATGTAGTCTAGGATGCAAGCTTAGGTTGTCTCCAATGACTTTGGTTAGTAACATACATTGAACATGTTGTAAACATTTACTATGAAAGCAATTAAAAGAGGGGTTTTGTGTGATTCCAATTTTAATGTAAAAACAAATGATGAAATTAATGAATTCAATCAATGAAATGTGCAATCCTTAGTTTGTTCATGTGATTCTATCTCTATTCCTCTCAAGATTCAATAATTTTCCTCTTCCTCTGAATTAGGGTAACTCATCAAGCGAGAATTAGCCTTAAAACCCCATACGAATTTAAGCAAATTACATAGGCTTTAACTCTTTTCTTCAAGATTACGCAACCTTAGAAATTAACTTAGGATTAAGCAAATCAAGTTAAGAATTTCATTAAAACGAATTAGAGTTAATTACGCAATGTCCCCCTCATTCAACCATTAATTCAATTCAAAGAGTTGAGAAATGTAAATTCATGAAGGAAAGGGAATTATATTAACATTCATACCCAGGAATTCAAGAATCCATTAACTCACTAAGGATTACAAGAAAGTTTAGCCCTCTATAAGGATGGATCTTACAAATTCAAGATGAAAACAAAAGAAATTCAATATCATCAATGCAAGAATTAAAGGAAAACGAAGAAAAATTGTAAATCAAACCCTAAGATTGGTCTTGGCTGTCATCCAAGGATCCTAAGCTTTGCAAAATGCTCCCAAAGTGGCAAAAGAATCTAAAGTTATGAAAAAAGCTCCGTACCCTAATTTTTCAAATTCTATTTATAGTGCAGAAATTTTTGCCTATAATAACTACTATAGTTTCATAATGATAACGAGCAGTACTCCATAGTAGTTACTATCACTCCATAATAGCCACGCGCAAGTCTTGTGATTTTGGCCTCTCTGGAGTTGTCACTTTGGTATTAGAGTGATAACGCGCAGTACTCCATAGTAGTTATTATCACTCCATAGTAGTCACGCGCAAGTCTTATGC